CAGCGTAAAGGAAACAAGCAGCATGATCAAAGATACCCACGATATCATTAATAAATATATTAAAGAGGATTGGACCCAGATGCGAACCTTGTGGAACGCCGGAAGTTGGCTGAAAGGAATGCGATGCGTAGCCATTAACCACAACGTGCGACTTGCGTTGATAAAGATAGGATTCAAACCATTCCAGAAGGCTGCCATACACACCCAAACGAGAAAGTTTACCCAGTAAAATTTTGTGATCAACTGAATCGAAAGCCTTACTAAAGTCGGTGTATATGGTGTCTACAGTAATACGGGAATCAAGGGAGCTAGAAACAAAATCCACAAACGGGATCAAATTAGTTACCGTTGAGCGAGATGCCAAAAATCCTGATTGGCAAGGAGAAATTAAATGCTTTATGTGATAGGACAAGACCGGGCAAACCAACGATTCAAATGCCTTCCCAAAGACTGAGAGTATCGAAATGGCCCTATAGTTCTTCACGGATGCCGAATCTCCCGACTTAAAAACTGGAACAATTCTCGCCTCCTTCCAGATCGAGGGAAATACGCCATTCATTAAAGACTCATTAAATATTATTGTTAGAGGAAAGGAGAGAGATTCACAGCATTGAACTACAAACAACGAGGGTATTCCATCTGGTCCAGCTCCCTTATTCCTATCTAGTCCTTTCAGAGTTTTCAGAACATCCTCCCGCCTAAGGGTGAGACTTCCAAGGAAGCAAGAGACTGAGTATTCTAGATCAGGTACATTGCAGAGAGGCAAGCTTGGCCGGTAAACCGAGGCAAAATAGGAGGCAAAGAGATTACAAATACCAGTTCCAGAAGTTTCTTCCTTATCATCGAAAGTCATTGCAGATGGATACGCATTGCTATTGACTTTTTTTACTCTTGAGAAAGGTCCAAAACTTTTTCGGATTTACTGATAGGGACTTTTCAAGATCAGTTATATATTTAAGATAACAAGATTCTGTTAAATCAGAGCACCGTTTTTTAATTTTTTGGAATGCCAGTTCGTCGAGTGGGTTATTGTACTTTTTGTATTTTATCCTGAGCTTATACTTCTCACGTGAGAGGCGAATAAGATCCCTGGTATACCACGGGGGAAACTTTTTTGATGCTGGTTTGCTTTTAGGAACATATTTTAAGATAGAACTTCTTAGTATTGAGTAAAATTTGTTAGTCATTTCATCCACTGAGGAGCACGAAGCCAGGTCACTCTCCCATGGTATCGAGCTTAAATAATTAGATATTTTTTCAAAATCAGCTTTATAAAAGTTATGCCTCTCATTATAATTTCGGGAAAGAAGTTTAGCTGAATACCTGGAAGGCAGCGTAAATACCAGCGGTGGGTGATAATCATCTACAGAACTGAGCTCAGAGTTACTTCGTGTCACTTTCAACTGAATACTAAGATTAGAGAGAACGAGGTCTAAAATTTTGCCTTTATGGTTTAGGACCGTATTATATTGGGTAAGATTATTTAAAGCCATGAAGTCCAGTAAAGTGCTTTCAAATGAAGTCTTAGTCATATTATTGCCATTTACAGCAAACGGTACCTCCGTATCGTTCCAGGCAATACCACTCAGATTAAAATCTCCCAAAATTACCGCTTTTGCGTTAGACTCTAAGACTCTATTAGCGTTGTCGATATAATGTTCCAGAAAATGTTTTTGAATGGGCGACGGGAGGTAGACGCCACACAATAAAAGCTTATTTGGGGTACCTTTTTCCGTAGGTATATTCAATTCGATCCAAATATCCTCGCATTTACTCTCAAAATGGTGTAGCCTACGGGAATAAATATGCTTTGACACAGCCACCAATACCCCGCCACCAGATTTGTCCTGATGAAAGCCACTAGTCTCGCGGTCGCGTCTAAAAACTGCGTAACGATCACTAAACAACTCGGAGTCAAAAATAGTGCTATTTAACCAAGTCTCACATAACACTACTATATCGTAATCGTATTTTAATATGTTTTTGTACAAGTTTGTCGTCTTCGTACGAAGACCCCTAACGTTTTGAAAATATACATTTAAACTATTGAACTTTAAGCCATATACTATTACACGATAGATTACAAAATATCTAAAAGAACCTAAGATAAATTGTCCAGGGTCGATTTATTACGCACTAAGACGTATTCAGATGTATCAGTTTTCCGCATGTATATACGGCCGCCCCGGACCCATACATGTTTGTATTGAAGTTCTTTTGCACGTTTACGGGACAAAGCGTGAAGAAGCTTATTCTCAGGTGAAAGATTTTCTACTACATATATGGGAGTCTTCCTGTTAGGCCCCAATCCCACATGCTCCGTGTTCAATTTTTCCTGTGAGTGAGTTTTATTGTATTTCAATGCAGCGGCTAGCAGGGAGTCCCTGGAGCGAGGGCTGTTAAGTTTAACTAGAATAGAGCGAGGACGGGTACTCTCGGGGTTCTTCTTAGCAATGCGTGAACAATATAAGATATCCGACTCGTTTATAGGGCAACATATGGTTTTGCTCAATTTTGTTACAATAGATAAAACGTTTTCAGACTTACGCTCAGGAACACATTGGATTTCCAGGTTCGATGCCCGAGAGATTTGCTCCATTTGATTAAGACGGCTAGTAATGATGATAAGATCACTCTGTAGGGTTTCCTTTTCCTTAATAATTGTGTCAATTTTAGTCTTACAGCCACTCAAATCCTTTTTACATTGCTCAAACGAATCACTCATGAATTGTATTGATTCCGTGAGACCAGTGATCTCTCCCCTAAAAGCCTGTAGTTGTCTATTCAGGTCAGCTTTCAAATCTCTCACGCATTCTTCCATGATGACCCTCATCTCCTCCTGTATAATAACACGCAACTCCGACCGTGATACATTAAAACTCGTACCGGCGTCTGACTCAAGGAGTGAATCCGGGCCTTTACGGCGCAAGGTAACGTTAGCTTTGGGGTTACTGGGCGTCGATGGCCGGACCGGTGTATTAGAGTTATCGCTGCGCGGCTTTTTATTCTTACATTCAGGGCACAGCCAATCTGCCTTAACTTCAGTCGATAGGTTTTTAAGCTGAGCAGGCGAAATGGCGACACATATGCAATGATAGTATGCCACACAGACACAACATTGCATGCATTCAGAGTCCTTAATCTTAGTATGACAGGCGGAGCATTGATGCATATTATGTTCAAAATCGCGGCAACTACGTATACATGCAAACAATGCAGGTGCAAGCGGCGCTTGAGTGCGACAGCAATTATGTCACTTGTCTCTTATCGCGCCGGGGGGTGAGGTGAGGTACCCCGCGAGTCCACAGGCAGCTACCGAGTGTTATAGTATTAAAATATTATTTTTATAGTTAGCACAACACACGGGATTATAGCCGCAACTGCTATTAGAAAGCGCTTCGTAAGAAGTAAACTCGCACGCACTGACACTGGATTTTTGCTACACTAACCGACAACACGTCCACTTACGAGTAATATATTGACTGTGACTGATTTTGAAAGAGAAATTTGGGAAAAGGGGCCCCCTAAAAACTTTCGTTCAATATGAACCCGATAGATGGCGCTGTTGTCGAGATCTAGAAATAACCCACGCAAAGCCGGGCGGATGGCTGGTATTGAATAAAAATTTGTTCTATTCAGTATGTTTTCACATTAAGTATAAATTACTGTGAAGTGGCGGTGTTAGAATGTCCACCAGCCCACATCATCCCGTCGGTATCGCAAGAGGCGACAGAGAGAAATAAGTCAGGAGACGGGCAGCAGCGTCTTCCTAATAACGACTGAAATTAAAAGAAACTGCGGTTGCCAACGCGCTTGCCAAACGTGGCAATCACGGCAAATATCCCCCCTATGAGACAATCTATGGGGCAGGTTTATGTTCGCCAGTGGACTTTGATAGGCTGTAACGGTCACGGTGTTCAGTATAACTACATTTTTTTTAAAGTTCATTATTTAAGGGTTGTAGTAACCGTTTGTTATCTTAGAAACTTATAAAAAAGTTGTTTCTTCACCTAGTTAAATTCGTAAAATCTTGATTTATGCTTGGTTATTTTAAACTTAAAGATCTTTAAGAATAGAAACCATTAAAATGTCTGCCGCAAGCCAATGATAATCTTTGTAAAGTAGCGGTGACGGTTTGCAACTCAGTTAATGATCTATATATACGTCAGCAACGCAACGGTGCGTAAGGATGGACAACCGTTTAGCTTCTAGCATAAATGATACTAAGCTGCTACCGAGTTCATTTCTGAATAACGGAAAGTTATTTGTGTTTAGTTTTACGCCCGAACCTAATATTCGATCTTAATCTGTTTTTAGCTATCCAAGATTGATAATTCAATCCATTTGGTTAGAGAGTGTTAATTGTAAAAATTTAAAAAATCAATAAAAATTATTTATCTCTATTAAAATACAATTATTACTATAATACCTAGACATTTATAAAAAAAGTATTTAATTTGTAACTACCTTTTCCTCCTTTTATACCACATATCATCCACATAATAGTCTCCAAGTAAGTAAAAATACTTACCCTTTTTAAATTTTTGTTCAATTTAAACACGAGTTGCTAATAATAATATTTATATATTATAGGCTATTTAGCAGGCAAAGAACTCAGAGATCACAAGTGTTACTTTTCTTTATATTTTGTGAATTTAATTGTAAAAATAAAACAAATATTCAATAAAAATGATTTTACTCTTTAATTACTATATTACTAAGACATTAATCTAACTTTAATACATTTATTACATACATATTTTATTAGTTCTTATACGAGTTTCTAATACGAACTATATAACTACTAATATTACAAATCATGAATACAAGCTTGAATTTATTAACTATTTACGACTTGACTGTCCTTTATGTATCAGAATACTTAATTATTTTTTACACTTACACACTATTACACAAATAACTATTTCTTAAAATTTTCATTTCTAATAGAAGTTTTTCATTTTCTAATTTAAGTTTTTTATTTTCTAATGTTATATTTTCTAATTTTGACTCCAGGCACAGTTTTTTAAATGTATAATATTCTGCAATGGCACGGTCTCTAGCAGATTTGGACCCATCACCCTGCAATTTCCTTTTACCTGTAAAATACAAATTAATTTAATTTATTAAATTACAAGTTAGCCTTTTTTAAAATAAAAAAGGAGTATATCTTTTGCATATTACTATTTTACCTCAATTTAGACTGCTTTTAAACTAAAGCGGACTACAAGTTAGTGACCATACCACCACCTCAGCGAATGGAGCACCATGTGAAATTGTTACCTTATAAATTAAAATTCTATCAACATCAAAATAACCATTACATGTTTTAGGAACATTGAATGTTACTCTCCGTAGTGTATCCGAAACTTTAATTTGTTTAGCAACAGCACAGGTGTTAACCTGAGCCATTGCTGAATGTGGAGAAGTAGGGGTCACAACCATTTCCTTTTGCGGATCTGGCACTAGTGTATCCTGAAACTCTAGGATTTCCAGATTGACCCTAGCATAACCACCTAATTCCTCTACACCATTTCCATTTGGCACAATACCACCACCATCACTAATCACTACAAAGTGCTCGGGTTCCTTATCTCCCCCATAAGGAACAACTAATCCACTAGCTGTATTCCCCAATAAGCTGGTAACACGATCCAGTATTTCGTCTGGGGGTATATACTCACCAACACCACCGCCAGTCTGCAAATCAAAAAGATGAAATTAATAAAGAATATAAATAAGATGGATAATCATTTATTTATACTTAGATTAAAAATAAATAAACAACGAAACTAAATGGTAATTCTTCTTTAAATTCTCCCATTTCAGCCGAAGCTGTTGTGGTGTCCGACGACAACTTGTTGCTGTAGCATTAAACTGCTCGGCTATTCGTACCCACTCTTTGTCTTTCATTTTATTGCTGCTGGCGTTTGTGGCTTAAGATATTATAATTTTGCTCATTTCAATAAGTTCGAGCAAGGCTTTGTTTTCATCTTTTGAAAGTGGCTTGCTCTTTATCTGAAATAAAAAGCGATTTATGTAGTTGTACATCAAGCATCAAATGATACAATATCTAAAATATTACAATTGAACTTACTATTTGTGGCTCCATTATTTTATTATTCAAAAAGTATTTGCTGTAAATATTTCTGTTTCAAAGTTTAGTTTGATTCGAAAAAAGGTTTATATCATATAAATGCTTGTCAAGAATTACGAATACAAATGATCGAACCGAAGCAATGAAACTTGATAATTGTTTTGACCGACGCGGATGAGCGAGATGACGCTGCGGCCGCGACTGACCGGCGGCGTTCCGTTACGTGATGTTTTCAAACTATAGTTACATTGATTTAAATAAAAATATAATCATTTTATAATTTTAGGGAGAAAAAGGGAGTTAATTTAATAACTTGTAATTAAAATCAATAGTTATAAATCTAAAATTACATTTTATGTTATATTAATACAATTATTTGAAAGAAGCAATAGTCGCTATGCATAAAACGAAACAGTCGAGAGGAATCGGATCGATCCAAACATCTGTTTGGATCGACTGCGATTGCCGCAATAAAAGATTGGGCTTGTTAAGTTATGTTATTGAGATGTGGATTTGGATCGATCTTTGTATAAGTTACAATCTCGGATTGCCATTAATCTTAAAAAAGAGATACGTTATTAAGTTCGGGCGCTAAACAGATTTCATTCTATTCATTCAACTGGTAGCGTGCATAGTCATACTTCCTTCATCATCATATTTCATTTACCTATCTACTGGATGACCTTTTTACCGACTAGAAATAAACAGGGTGTAACATGTGAACGGTGTAGAAGCCTATGGCACTGATATTTTACAAAATGTAAAAACAAAAATTTTGAATTTAATAAAAATATTAAATAATATCTATCGAAATTCAAATCATATCCGTCCTACTTTACGAACGACAATAAAACAATAAATTCAGTAGGCATCTAAACCTAAATCATTGTTGAATCTTTATCATTTAATTTCCAAAATAACTGTCTCGTTGGTCTAGTAGTCGTGACCGCGATTGGTGATCATGAGATCCCGGGTTCGAATCGTGAAATCAGTTATTGGTGTTTTCTTAAAGAAATTCTTAGTAGCAGCTCGGAGTAAGTTAGCGGTGTTTGACCCCCGTGCCTCGTAAAGCATGTTAAGTCTTTGGTCTTGCGCCTGATCTCTCTCCGGTCGTATCGGATTAGCGTCCCGTTGGACTATCAGAGGGAGAGAATAATAAGTGAACCTGTGCTTGCGCATACATTTGGGCACTATAATTCTGTCCTGCACACATGGCTAGTCTCCGTTGAGACCGGCCGCTGTGACAGAATTAGGCTTGGAAGACATCATCATCATAATTTAATTTTTTTGGTCTGGAGGAACCAAAAATACTCCAAAGTCTCCTTAGCAGCTATTTATGAAAATAAACATATATCACGTTCTATCCTTAAGATAATTTCTGTCACGCCTGAGAATGTGGTAAATTAGCACTTAAAATTCTAATTAGCATTAACCTAGGTCGCTTGTATACTGTGAAAATTACGAAGAGCGTTATCTTATGTCGTATAGTTTTATGTTTATTTCTATGTATTCATAATGTGCGTTAATTTTCCTTTCTTTATAGCTCATAAATTAAGGTTCGCCGTGCAGTGGCCTATTAAAGTTTACTACTGAATGTAGGCCTCCGGCATAGATAGCCTCACAGGACGTATTTTGCAAGCATTACGACGATTAGCAGGCGTTTTAATGACCACCGTTTTTATTGTTTTCATGTGTTATCAAAGCTGCTGCCCAGTTTCAGTTCTCTGTCACCCCTTACGACATCCAGTGGTTGATATAGTACGATATAAGGGATACGGGTATAAGGGTGATGTGGAATAGTGGGTATTCTTCCTCCGTCACTACAAGGTGTATCTGTTAACAATAAGTTTATGCTGGATTGGAACTTATTTGTGTTGACATACTTTTGTTATAAAATATTTAACACGTATATTGTATATTTTTTGAAGGAAAAAATTCTTTACAATCGCTGTGCTTTGAAATTTGATGAAATTAAAAAGCGACATCTAAAAGAGACAAACTTATACACCTGTCGCATTTATTCTGCAAGATATTGGGATAAAATAGTTTATCCTTTTTTAAACGGCCGGCAACGCACCTGTAATTCAAAAGTCGCATTTGTTCATGGGTGGAGGTCGACACTTAGCTTCAGGCGAGCCGCATGCTCGTTTGTCCCATTTTTATAAAAAATACAGTACATGTTGTTTCCGATACATTACCGTGTTGGTGTTTCGGATAGAATACAGGATACGGTATCTCGCTCTTATTTTCTAAAGGTTTTTCAACTCAAATCAAATCAGTTTATTGTGTGAACATAGGTTAATTTACAAATTCAAAATGTTTATAGCAAAATGCAAGGTAGGTTCTCTATGTACCGCCATTAGGCATACAAAATATAAAATAATAATTGCAACATTCATTAATAACATTTTTTTTCTCTTCTGATGTCAGTTTCTAATTGATATAACTAAATAATATTTTAATAATAAGAAAATTTTAAAGATAATAAAGGTATAGTGTACCTACATATAATGATGGTCATCATTTTGTCTAATTGTCATCTAGTATTAATTGGCTCATGTCATGATAGTAACTGTAGTCATAGGCTGCGTTTGGCAGAAAAAAGCGCTAGGAAGCGCTTGTAAGCAAGTGAAACTATACAGTTTTCGACCAGGACACGTCTGCTAACTTCAATAGAGCTGACACAATCCACCATTTTGCTTATTTATTTTGTTTGTTTTGAAGCAGAGTTTATAAGTTGTTTTGTGCAATTAGTTTCAAGCAAAGAGATTTAAATATATACAGTCAACCCGGGTAAGTGAGAACTGGATAAGTGAGAAAACTCTATAAGTGAGAGTAATAGACAGGACCCGTTATTTTAAGCTCCCAAAACCTCTATTAGCGAGAAACAGAAAGCTCTGTAAGAGAGAGCCGTTTTTCCCTCATGGACCTCCGTAAGTGAGACTGCTACTTATCTATTTTATTTTATTTTATTTGGAAGACCAACAGCTATCATAATTAGGATAGATAGTACTAATAACAACAGTAAGCCAATAAAAGATCCTCACTAATTTAACACTCGAAAGTATCCAATACAACATATTTATGCCAAATGAGGGCTAAGCTTGTATTATACTTATAAAAGGCAATCAACTCATACTTAGGACAGTCAATAACACTACAAGCTATTTTTAACACAAATATAAAAGTAAATCTTACTTAGAGCTACTAAAAAATGCATTATTAAGTATGCGCCTAGCTGACGCAGCACTAGTGTTAAACAAATCGAAGTCAAACTCATGGGCTAGCTTATTGAAATTATTGCACGCTCGCCACATAAATGTATTTTGCCTATAATTTGTAGATGCAAACGGGAGACTTAAAATTTTGTTGTGTCTAAGAGGTTTGGCTGGACAGCTAACATGTAGTTGAGATAAAAGCTCAGGACAGTCAATAGCACTACAAGCTATTTTTAACAGAAAAGTGAGGTCAGCAATCTCACGACGCATAGCAAGAGGAAGAAGGTGATGTTTTTTACAATAACTAATATAATTATCAGAGGTATAGCGATAGTCATTGGTTCTATAAGAGAGGTAACGTATAAACTTACTTTGGATATTTCTATCCAAAGTAAATTTATGTTATTAAGATCTATACCTCTATAAGCGACAGTCGAGCTTTATTTTTATTATTTAGGAGCAACTATAGCTACGATAACAATACATACATATGTATGTATTGTTATGTAAAAGATACCCATATACAGTAACAAATGACAAAATAAATTACAAATTTAACATCTGCTATTTTATGACTCATTCTTAACTTTCGTGGAATTTTCTGCCATTGTTTTTGTATTGTTTTCTCGTCAATATTGTACCTATTCTATTTTGTGGAACTAAATAACGTTGTTATTTTATCGTATTCTTTTCGAATGGACACGTGTGCCTACGTACCCTTCTGTTGGTCGGACTTACTCAGTTTATAGTTAATCAATTGCGAAGGAAAGTTCTGTTCTGCATCATGTCAAAACGGAAAATTAAAGTACTGTCTGTTAAATGATAAACTTAAAATAGTGAATGCGTTTACATCCGGAAAATTGTGAAATGAAATTCAGAAGGAGTTTAATTTACCAGAATCCACCTATTATAAAATTATAAAATCAAAAGAGTATAAAGTCTGAGTGCTCGACGGACATGGAAATATTAAAAGGACTAAAGTTTCTGAATTTAAAAATATATATGTACATAATATATGTTGTGCATATTATTCACCTAATTTTATCATATTATATATTTACTACATTCGTACTTGCTGTGACTTGTTATTGCTGCGTACCTCTATAAGAGAGAAACGCTGACGCTTCTAAATATAAGGTAAACATCGGTTTTAGGTTTAATCGTCAATTACTAACATATTTGTAAATAAAAAGTGACGTTACTGGATAACAGAGGGCACTTATTACAATAATTTTTCTTTCTTCTAGAACAATCTACCAGAAATAATAAGATTTAAATATTATTTGGTAAATATACATTATTCTTAGGATATATATAGATTATTATTATTATTTATATATATTAATGATCTTAGGATATAGATAAACCGAAATCATGTTCATTTGTTGCTCCATATCGTGACTTACTATATATTAAAGCACAACCGGGCATATTTTCTTTAAAATATTTTTTAAATTTATGAAACGAATGCGTCTTGACCTTTCGGTGATGTCACTAAGACTAAATGACAAAAATCGGAGATATATCCTATAGGACAAAAGTTACAGACGACAATTTTGTTGCTGATGTCCGGTCTATTACTACTACATACTTAAATGTTTTTGGTTTCAAGTAATGTAATGAAATGAACAAAGATATTATACATGTTATTAAAAATTCATAATTGGTAAGTTTTTAATATGAATACTTTACAAACATATATTTAAATTAGGTTAGGTTCCCGGTTAAAGCTAACTTGCATACTACATGTATATACATGTAGTATGCAAGTTAGCTGCAGCACATATACTGCATGCA